AGCCAGGCATGGTGGCTCACGCCTATGGCCCTAGCTACTCTGGAGGCTGAGGCAGGAGGAGCACTTGAGCCCAGGAGTTTGAGGTTGCAGTAGCTGTGGTTGCGCCACTGTACATAACCAGTGTCGCCTGGGCGACCAAGCAAGACTCTACTCAAAAAAAAGGCTAAAAGAGAGGACTTGAAATCCTCCTAGACACATCCTATGCATGTAACAAAATATTACATGTCCCCCATAAATACGTACAATTATTCATCAATAAAAAATAAAGTTATATCTAAAAAAAGTCAGTGAATATGGAATAGCTGGAAGAACACAAATTTGACTTTTAGGGTTTTGCAATTATTGGCTTTGTGTGATTTAAACTTATTGCTACACTTTTACTCAAATAATTTCATTAATAACTCACTTCCTTAGTACTTTAGTGTCCAATTAAGGTAAATTTAAACCATTATTTACACGAGGAAGGCTAAATTGATCACTACTAGATTTATTTTTCTTTCCAAATCACACAGGATCAATTTATAAAACCTCAAAGTTTCTGCTTGTTCAAAATGTTATATTATTAGTAAGCAATCCTTGATGAATTTCATTGAAGAGTAAGGACACGCCATAAAAACCAGTTTGCTGTAACATTTTACCTGTGAGCTACCTTGGGCAGAGCTATCACTGGTTCTTCTGAAGGGCCAGGGAAAGCGGAAAGGGGAAAGGACGGTCACCACACCTGCAACTTCTCCGAGTCGCTGACCCCAGAACCGGACTGCCGCCCGCGAGCCGGGTGTACGATAAAGGCGCACACAGGCAAACGGAAAAGGGGTTCTGCCTTGCTTCAAATCACCAGCTGAAGGAAGGGCGGGGGGAACAGCAAGAATGAAATGGGAAATTACTTTGGCCATTTCCTGCTCCAGCTGCAACCTCCGGTTGACCTTCTGCTGGTAGGTTTTTATGACGTTCTCCACGTGCTGCTCCATGAAGAACTTGAAGGCGTATGGCGAGTAGCTCTTGATGCGCGACTCCCTCTTCTCCTCGTCTCTGCTGTTTTTGCGGACGGGAACGGGGGACGTCTGGATCTGCTTCTTATCCTTCCCGCCCTTGTCCCCCTTGGCGCTCTTGTGGCTCTTGTCGCCGGGCTCGGGGCCCCCGCGCAGGCCCTGCTCCACGCCCGCGCACAGGCTGTCCAGGTCGAACTGCTCCGACTTGCTGCGCAGCAGCAGGTGCTTCGGGTAGGGCGGCGGCGGGCACCTGCGCTCCGGGCCGCCGTACTCCACGTCCAGCGGGCAGGCGCCGGCGCAGCCCAGCGCCAGGCCGAGCTCGTCCTTGGCGTCCAGGCCGTCCCCGGCCGGCGCGGGCGCGGGCACCCAGGCGGGGTGGGACGGCCCCACGGCCGTCTGCGGCTCGGGCCGCAGCACCCGCACGCTCTTCACCGGGTGCAGGATGTGGGCGGCCGTGACGGCCGTGACGGTGTTGGGGGCGGGCAGCGAGGGCTCCGCCTTGCCGGGAGGGCCGGCCCGCGGCTGGTGGCTGTTGAAGGAGTCGGTCCTGCTGGGCACCGGGCCGTCGGGCCGGAAGGCCACGTGCTGGCGCGGCGGCGCCTCCAGGCCCGGCTTCTGCAGGGAGTCCCGGCGGGCCAGGGTGGCGGCCGGCCACGGCTGGGCCGCGGCGCCGCCCGGGTCGTACAGGTCCACGTTGAGGCTGTTGCGGGAGGGGGCCAGCAGGCTCTGCGGGGGGCTGTCGCCAGCGAACACCAGGCCGCGGGAGCCCATCACGTGCAGCTGGAGGGCGGCGGGGCCGGCCTGCTTGTGGTGCGCGTGCGGCACGTACAGCCCCGCGGCAGCGGGCGGGAAGGCGAGGCCGGCACTCGGGGGGCCGCCCTGGCCCTTGGCAGGCAGGCTGGCGTAGCCCCCCGCCTCGGGCGGCGTCTTGCTCTGGAAGGAGGGGCTGCGCTGCACGCCGTAGCCCAGGGGCTCCCCCTGCACCAGCAGGTGCGGCCGCCCGTAGTGCGGGCCCTGCGGCGGGAAGTGCGCCGCCTCCGCGCCGGCGCCGTAGCCCTTGGGCTGGTGCTGGTGGCCAGGCACGCCGTGGGGCGCGACCCCGGGGAAGAGGAAGTCCATGTACTGCCGTGGCACCTCCTCCAGGGCCGCGGGGCTGTCGGCGACGAAGCCGGGCCCCTCGTAGGCCGCACCGCTCAGCTGGTGGTAGGACGGGAAGGAGTCGCTGGTTCCTTCGAAGCTGGGCCTCCGCGTCACAGGGGCTGGCACGAGGCCCTTTCCTGCGGAGGAAAGAAAGGGAAGACGGCGTCAAAGGGGACACGGTCTGTCGGTTCTGACAGCGTCCCTGCGGCCGAGTGGCTGTACAGGGTCTTTAACAACCGCGGCCCGACAGGCTGGGCTCTGCCCAGGAGGGCCAGCGGGCCACCCTCTGCCCCGCCGGCAGGGACCACGCACCACAATGTGGCATCAGGGGGACTAGAGGGCAAAGGGTACACAGGAGGGTCAAGGGCAATAAAGAAGCCACGTCCCAGGCCTCCTGGATGTGACTCCCTCACACCCGCAAGGACACAGCCCTGGGTTCACTCTCCTGTCAAGCTAGGGAGCCATCTGGCCGGCCAGCTTCGTTTTCTCCCGGACGTGCCCAGGTGTCCGGGCTGGCTGAGCTGACCCTCACATATCCCCGACCTCTGCGGCTCCCTAACGCGACGGGCAGAACTGTGTCCATCGTGGTGCAGCAGCCGTCCACTTTTCTTTCACCTATTTTCTGGGTTTTTTGTCTTTATTAAAACAAAACAATATATACACAGCAATAAAAAACACATAAAATCCCTCTATGAATACCCAGATTGATTACGGCCGCTCTTTCCTTACTCCTGACTTTTCCATTTTGAAAATCTTTCCCCATTTGAAACAGACACCAGGAAGGATGGACAAAGGCTCCTTTCGTGTCATTTACACCAAGCGTCCCGCGCTGCTTGACTCGGCAGGGGATGCCGTGGAGTCGCGGGGCTGTGCCTTGCCCGTGGGGAGACCCCTCCCTCCGGAATACGTGGCGGAGAGAACGCCCCGACAGCCACCGCATCAAGCCTAAGCCGCAGCCAAACGGTGGCCTGTTTTGCCTGGGCTAAGAAACGCGCAGCGAAGGCACCGCACCAAAGGCAACCGTGGGAAGAAATCCACACAGACCGTGGGCTTGTGTGTGCCTTTGGAGCCACGCTCTAGGACAGACTCCAGAACTCTGGAATCGTGACATGGACGGCCAGCAAGGACTGTTGAAGGAAGTTCCTTCTCTCAAGAAAAGACTAGAAATGTGGGTCCTCTTAACAATGGAGACGCAGCTTACTGAGCCTGTGAGATTTTCTCACTCACCACATGAAGTGGGTTTTATCCCAGGTTGTCCACAAAATGGGCAAAGTCTTTTTGCTAATCACTATGAATCATTTATCACACCCCAGGGACCTTAGGTACCAAATAAAGGGCCCATCCGCTCCATTCTCGGAAAGCGACATTCACTGACAGCAACGCAGGCCCTGATAGGCCTGGCGCCGGGCAGCTGCTCTCAGAGGCTATGGTGTGAGAAAAGGTATGCTTTCAAATTGAAGAAATAAGCCTCGCTTTTCAATGATCTCTCCACAAGCCCAAGAGAAAACAAAATGACCATTTTTCCTCTCACTTTGCTGACTTTTTGCATCTTTCATAAAACATATCAAGCACACAAACTCCTGTAGGTAAGAATTACCACAGACGATTTCAGATGGGGTGGGGGAGCCCCAGGTGAGTCCCACAGTCTCCCACCTGAGGCCACCCCCGACTCCAGGACCTGGCTTGGGCGGCGCAGGCTCAGCTGGCCCGTCACTGAACAAGGCAACGTGCCATGAGACCGTCTACCGACAGGGCCACGTCGGGCCTCCCTTCTTGCCTATGTTCTTCCATCACAAACCACCTTCACCCACCGTGCCGCTGGGCTGCGCTCACCTGGGGAGGTCTGCTTAATGACCCGCACGATCTGCTCGTTCCTCGGGTCCAGGTAGCCCATCTTGCTGATGTACTCCAGGGCGGCCTCGATGCTCCTGCTGCCGGTTTGCTTGAGCGCTCTGCCCGCCATCTCCTGGGAGCGAAGCACGGGAGAGGTAAGTACATGTCATCGTAAAACAAGGCCACTGTGACTTCCGTTCCCATCGTGCCTGTGCTGTGACACCTTGCCTCTCAATGATGGCTTGGCTCTGCGACAAGCTGCAGGTGACTCAGGGTGGGCACAGATGCCTGTTGACAAAGCCTAGCACGTACCGCACCGCAGACTATTTAGTGTATGTCAAGGACACACAAGAATTTTGATGGCAGACCTGAAAGAAATTGAATTTCTGCTTCTCCTTAGAAAACTTTTGTGGTTGGACTGATACACCCAGGAAGACCCTAAGACCAGAAGCACACAATGGGAAGGACACACTGGGAGTCGGGGACCTGGTTTTCATGCCGCTCACCGCAGGCCAACTCTGGGGCCAGGCAACCTGCCCCTGAGGGGAGTATGTGGCTACCCAAGAGTCATTTATTGCATACCTACTGTTTACAATGCCCTGTGCCAACTACAGCAATAGAGGACTTGCCCTTAGGGACTTGACTAGTGGGACGAAGAAAAGGCAGGCACGACAGGAGCCCTTGGAGCCACGCTGGCACAGGACAGACTGGTGGCCACCACAGGAGAAATCAGGTAAAGTGGACAAGGGTCGGAGGAGACGGGTTCTTTCCACCTGAGAGATGAAGCAGCAGCACAGCTGGCTCTTCAAGGCCAGACAGACTCTGGGCAGCTGGAAAGCCCCGGTAGAAAAAAGACAAACAGAGCAGAGCCCTAGGGGACAAGAGGCTGGACAGCAGCAGCATGCGGAGGGACCCACGGACTGGCCTGGGGTTTTTCCCCTATTTGCAGGTAGTCTTGGAAGCTTTCACACGGGGACACATGGCAGTCAGAGGGCCAACCTGGGGGCAATGGCAGGGGCAGAGCTCATGGCACTCTTAGGTGGGGAGACAGGCCAGGCCAGGGTTGCAACAGACAAGGCAGGTGGTCGGCGAGGCGCAGCCCAGGGGCACGGGACTGTGAGGCTGTGACCCAGGCGCTCCCCCTTCTCCCTGTGGGACAGCGCTGCAGAGCTGCAGGCAAACAAGGAGGGCGAGGACAGGAAAAAGACCACCACCGAGGCTGGCCCTGGACACGAAGGGAAAGCTGAGCACTCTGAATGGATGGAGAGGACGGGTGGGAGGAGGAAACTGAAAATGCAGAGGGAGCATCCCTGACCAGGAGGCCGCGGCCAGGCAGAGGGCAGAGAAGAAAGGGGTGGAGACGCAGAGAGAACCGAGGATGGAGGGGGAGGCTGCCTGGGGCTGTTCTGTGGCAGGAAGCCTGGCGTGGCAGCAGTGCCACTGTGCGGAGAGAGACACGGTGCTGTGTGTCCCCTGCCCTGGACAGGGCATCATGGCACCAGTGACCTACATCACACTCAGCTGTCGGTCTGCCCGCTCCCTTGGGATAGAGACACCCTGGCGGGCCTGAAACACCACATTACCCAAGGCCACATCCGCCCACCTAACATGGCGCTTAGAACAAACCGAGCACTTAATATCCGTACGATCGTCTAGCAGTGAATCCAGCTTTCCATGCCTGGCCATACGCCGACTGAGTGGCAGGACAAGAAACGCAGGCTGTGCACGGCTGTCAACTGTGCCCATGTTCTCGGCGACGCAGGTGCGAGGGGCCATGGAGGAGCCAACGGAGGGCAGGCTGCACCCGAGTGAAGGCACATGAAGTGACAGATTGGGAAGGGGTAACAAGAACAGGGCTGTTTTTTAACGCGGTGCTTGGATAGGAAGGGCCTGTGTTGACAATGTGGAAGAGCCATGGAGAGAAGGCAGCAAAAGGTCAGAGGGGAAGCGCCTCCCTGCCTCACCTGGGACCGAGAGAAGATGCTAACCTCCCATTTCACAGCTGTGCTCGCGATGAGATCATGTCTGAGAAGACTCTCCAGCTTGGAGGAAGACATGATATAAGACCACATCTTAGCAGGATCACTCTGGAGCTTCTGACGCCCATTAAAAAATGGGCCAATCAGAGCTGACCCTAACCACAAGCCTTTCAGTTGGCACCAACGTTCAACTGCTTTGTCTGAAAGGTGACCCCTGGCTCCAGCTCCTTCAGCGTGACTGGCCACCCTGTGCCTGTCACTCCCGTACCTGTCGTCAAGGAGGCAACAACTTCTGGACAGGTCACGTCACACGTGGACACACCGAAACTCTCTTTCTGTTTACAAAGCACCCACTACTTCAAGATTTATACGTTTATTGTGCTTCAAATCTAGGAGCTTAACCAAGAAAAAGCAACACGAGGAAACCACAAACGAAGACTCGTGTTCACAGGGATGTTTCAAGTCATTAAAACTAAACCACAGTCAGGAGCTAACTTGTTTACAAATAAAATCTTCAAATAACCCAAGTCTGTTGAGGCTTGCCCTTGTTATCTGTCCATCACCCTGTATTTAGCAAATACACAGTTCTTACACGTTAACTCTCAGAAGAGCCTACTGCGCACATACATATAGCTATGTTTCAAGGCTCAAAGAAATTGGAATCCATTTCTAGAGCCTTCGGAATACAGCCTCCAGGTGAGCATGAAGCACTGCAGGGCACAAAGACAAGGGCAAAGTCTGCAGAATAGCAAGAGGGGACACCAGAGGGACGCAGGAGGAACATGGCAGGGAGATGTGGCCAAAGCCCAGCTGAGGAGCTTGGCACTCACTTTCCTTTCTCAAGAATGTATTGAGGCCAGGCGAGGTGGCTCATGGCTATAATCCTAGCTCTCTGGGAGGCTGAGGTGGGAGGATCGTTTGAGCTCAGTAGTTCGAGTCCAGCCTGAGCAAGAGTGAGACCCCGTCTCTACTAAAAATAGAGAAAATTAGCCAGGTGCAGTGGTGCACACCTGTAGTCCCAGCTACTGGTGAGGCTGAGACAGGAGGATCTCTTGAGCCCAGGAGTTTGAGGTTGCTGTGAGCTATGATAACACCACCATACTTACTCTACGCAGAGTGAGACTCTATCTCCAAAAAAAAAAAAAAGAATGTATTGAGACTATCGTTTGCGAGTCCTGACTGAGCGCTGCAGGCAGGACGGCACAGCGGTGCGGCGCCTCGACAGGGAGGCCAAATGCACGGGTTCATATTTCCTTTTTGTTCCTTAGCAGCTGTGTAACCGTCAGCAAATTAGTCACCTACTTGGAGCGTCCATTTCTTCCTCTGTAAAATAAGGCTAATAGGGTTGCTCTAGGGATTAAAGTAGATAATGGCACATTTCTGCATCATTTAAGGATTAACTGTTACAGTTCACGTAAGTATCTTAAGTGTCTCTGAGAAAAAAACATAAACACATTTATACATTTTATATAGGTTCAATATTTAATATCGCTGATGTTTTATTGTTTACTCGTCTTACCATTATTATATAAAGAAATGTAATGAGTTCTTTCCACCAAGCCTCAACAGACACCTCCCGCCGCTTCCGGTTTACCTCAGGCTGCCGTATAAACACCACGGCCTGTGCCAAGACGTGGCAAAGGCTGGCAGCCCTGTCCCAAAGCAAGGACACGGCCAGAAGCTGGCGGGAGGACAGGCAGATACGCGTTCCAGTGTCTAACGTGCAGAAAGCGATCACAGGTGTCTGTGCAGTGAATAGTGTGTGACTGAACGAGGGGACAGACAAAAGGAGGAAGAGCTACAAGCAGGGAGTGAGACGGAAGGTGCTGCCCGTGCTGGCAGGCTGCCCCTGGTGTGTGGAAGACGGGGAGACATCGCACTCCACCTTCCACAGAGGCACCAAGACACCGGCCACAGGAAATTTAAAACAAAACTTAAAAACAGCAGCAACCTCGACTCCCGAGTATTACTCTGTTACCCACTTGGCACACCTGGGCCATTCTTCAGCAGAGCCTCTTCTACAGAAGTTCACAAAATCTTAACACCATCCACATGTTTGCGCCATGGACTGTTTACCACTTGCTAATTATTAACAGAGTAATACCGTGGGTTGACAAGACTTTGATAGCTTTATGTCACCTAGCCACATGCGCCAATAAAATCCTAAATGCAATTAAATCCTTCTCCTAAAACACTCTAGAAAGTTTAATTTAGGATTGTTTAATGTCTCATATGAAAGTGATGCTGTCCGTTGAAGCAAAGTCAGCCTTCTCTTCTGGACAGTTGCTAGTGCTGCAGGTGAAGCCACCATAACTTGTGTTCAAGCCTGCTTCATCAGCACGTGCAAACCCAGTTGTTGACTGCACCTCACCTATTCTCCCACTCTTCCCAACCTTGGAAGCATCCTGACTTTGAGACTTCCTCCACATCTCATATCTAATCCAGAAGCACTTTTTTGTTAGCTCTCCCTACCCTAGAGTGGTGGAAGATTCTAGATGTTCTGAAGGCAGAACTGACACTGTTCCTCACATTCTACATCCAATTTAGCAACACCTAACGTGGCATCAACGCCACGCCTCACAATCAGGGGAGCCACAATAGTTACCAAGTAAGAGTGATGGGCTCTTACCTAGAGCCCTTACCTGCTGCCCTGTGGGCTGTTCTTGCAGCTTTGACACATTCTTCATCTGACTCACACAGAATAGGAGCTGGCAGGGCAACATGCTATGGCACAAGGGATAAGTCTAGGGGCCGGGCAGCCCTCTCTTTTGGGGAGTGCCTCATGCACAGCAGTGGGCTGTTCTCAGCTTGGGGTGGTGGCCTTGGCTCGGATAGAAGGAATGACTCCCAGTCCTTTAAAGCAGAGCTCCTCAAGAGGTTTTATGCCTGACAGAGATGGGGAGGGGGGGTTGTTGAGAAGGGCAAGATAAACCAAGCTTTCGAACTTCACTGATTTCCTGCTGCTACCAACAGCTCTTGTAAAACTCCACCTTAGGTATGTGGATTTAATCTTAAAGTGGTTTTGAACATACCTCGGTTAGTCTGTTTTATGCTGCTACGAAGGAATATCTGAGGCTGGGGAATTTATAAAGAAAAGAGGTTTATTCGGTTCACAGTTCTGCAGGCTGTGCAAGCAGCACGGCACCAGCATCTG